GATAGGCCTTATTATGTCATTACCTCTTCTGTCATTGCTGGGATGGATGCTGTCGTCTGAGAAAACCGGCGGCAGACGGTGGAACGTATTCATGTTGGGCATTAGTCATGGTACCGTTCGCGCCATCATGACAGAACGTCTGAAGGTCCGGAAAAGTTGTGCACAGTAGGCTCCCCACAGCCTGACAGAGTGGCAGAAATTGAACAGAATGATGGTATCACTGCAGCACCTGGAACGGTATCAAAACGAAGAATATCGCCTTCTATGGTACCATCATTCTGAGCGGGAGAGCAAGCGTGAGAGCCAACAATGGAAGAACACGGGTTCACCCCCACCGAAAAAGCCAAAACCGTGCACGCCGACTCTGGGAAAGTCATGCGGAAATTTTTCTTTGACTGCAAACCCCGCTGCTTATTGACCTTTTGGAACACGACGTAACGACTAACGCATAGCGGTGCATGGAAACATTGCAAAGATTGAAGAGCTTCATGAAGTCCAAACGCCCAGAAATGTTGACGGACGGAATGATTCTGTTACAGGATAATGCCCTCCCACATATTGCCATGGTTTTAAGACGATGTCCAGATCTTTTCCCTTGCAATTTCCATATTTTTGGAGTCCCTAAGAAAGATATTCCTGGCTATTGATTTGCTTCGGACGAAGATGTGTGCGCCTGGACACAATCAGTACTTAGCACGCAACCGAAGACAGTTTTCTATCATTGCATTAACCGTCTTGCCTCACAAGGGGGTAAGTGTATTAACAGGCACGGCGACTATTTTTGAAATAAAAGCCAGTTTAATTACTTTTTTTCCCATCTGTCTCGTTTTCACTTGACTGCCCCTTACAGTTTAAAACATAAAAAAGAGTTACATTATGTACTATGGGTAGCGTTGCCACCTCTTGGCTGTCAAAATCCGGGAGAAGAAAAAAAAAATTTTTTTTTTAGTCGCAACTGAAAAAAACTCCGCCTTCTTAATCTCATTTAACAGTATTTTTTGAACTGCAGGAGCAAGCACACTCTCGCAAATACTTATGCATTTTGTTCTACCACAAGAAATCTTTTTTGACAAAGAAGAATCTGGAAATAGAGTGCTGTACAATTTGTTTGTGCAATCCTGGCTATTAAAACTATGTGTGTGTGTGTGTGTGTGATTATGGCAAAGCCTCGAGGGCTATCTGCCTAAGGGAGGGATGCCTTCGTGGAGGACTTTCTAAGGGAAACTGGCTCGTATGGAAACTGGCTTTCATGGGGAAAACCACGAAAACACCCCATGCAGCCAGCCCGTTCGCGGGATTCGAACCTCGGACCGAACTACCAGTGTTCAGCGACTTTACCGCTCGGCCGCTGGTGGGCCTATTAAAACTATGATGGTGCTTTTTAATCCAATGATAGACTGAAGTAATTTCAATTGCTGATATAATTGTCCTGTTCTTCTTCAGAAAAAAGTTCGAAGCCGATTGCGGAGAATCTGTATTCAATATTAACAGTAGGCGTTCCTTACTTTAGGAATGTACAGTTAAAGCTCTAACATCCTCGTACTTAATATTAACCGTTTTCTGACGTACTTTACATCGTTCTCCGTTAAAGTTGTCTCTCTTCATAAACCAATCAAATTGAGTTAACCACTTCTCTAGAAACGACGTCGAATATTTGTCCTCTCTCTCTCTCTCTTTTTTTTTTTTTTTAGTGGTACTTGTAAACCTGCAGAATCAGAATCTTTTTTTTTTTCCACTAGACATTATTATGAAAGCATTTAAATAACTTCAAAATACGCACTTGTTTGTGGATAGCTGCAGACTAAATGAAAGAATGGACTGAAAGTGAGAAAGTGAGGAAGATGAGGGCGCATGAGCACTACACGCCAGCATGAAACTACTACTCATCCCGTAAGGCGCTTACTTACCGCAGATCACTGCTGCATGAGAACATGTATTCTCATGACGTTCTTCGGCTGCTGTGAGCGATCGTGTGATTTTCGATGCTCTCAACCATTTCGTCCGTGCTCATTGTATCGTTATTTTCGAGAAACTTGATATTCCGGGAGAGTAATATTTATTTTAAATTCCTTCCGGGCTCCGGGAGATTTTAATTTTTAGGGCTCAATTCCGGGAGAGGGGAACCCTAACTATGGGGTTTACTGAAAAGTCTAGCGACTGTTTCTGCTTCTTTCCCGGCATTAAACATGAGAACCTTCTGACGGCTTTTGTGAAGGTCATATACATCCATGTGTCTTAAGTTTCAATTTGTCAATTAGGGTGTTAAGTATTTGGTCGCAGCGAGTGAAAGTATGCGATATATTTTCTCGTGATTGAAGTTATTTTGTAAAAATATTACAAAGATGTTATAGAATTTTGAGTTAAAATTAAGAAAAACAACAGTAAAGCAATTGAAATTTTAGAATGCATAGTGTGAATCGAGGCTTTTCAGAAACGGTTATACGGGAATGATCGACAAGGTCGCACATCAATGATCGACGAGGGTAAGTCATTCACAGCGATTACGGATACAAAAATTGTCCATGGAAGGATGGTCAGTAAAAAAATGACTATGATGCAAACGTCTTGAAAATTCATTTGCATATAGACATGAGGAAGAAATGTCGATACAGAATTTCACTCATGCGGGCTTTCTTTTGAAAAAGAAAAAAGCAGTTTTAGATAGCAAAGAAGCATAAGAAAATGTTAAACATTTTATTCAAAATTATTAAAAAATGTTAGATTTATGAAAAACAAAATGTCTAATTCAAATGTTATTAACAATTTAATCTATATTGTTAATAGTGTTGTAGAGTCATTAAGATTTTTTAGAGGCAGAAAAGATGAAAAATTAGCAAACGCCTTCGCCGGGAATCGAACCACGGACCTCTGAAATACCGGCTCAGTGTGCAGAACCACTACACCATGAAGTCTCGCTAGGGAAGTGGGAGAAATACCTTATGGTGTTACGAAATGTCCAGGCGCGGTAAGAAATTTTCCCCGCAAAGCAGTTTAAGGGTTGCCATAAAATGGCAAGGGAAAGCAGAGTTGCCACATTTGGCGAGAAATCGCCCATTTGCCGACAAAATTGGCGATATACTATGGACGGATGGAGAACCTTCTGGAACGAATTCTTACCGGTTTAGCCCAGAATGTTCTCGAACACCAGTCAAAAGCTATATAAACCCTGCTGGTTCCGCAGTCAGTTAGTGTTTCTCGTCTAGCGAGTCAGTCCCTGCGGAGTGGATCGAGTTGACAGTCGGGCAGCGAGTGCCGAGTGGGTCGTCGAGTGCATCGCAAGAGTCTCGTAGTATATCGCAGTTAGTGCATCGTCGAGAGAGCGTGTGAGCTCCGAGAACGACTGAGCCGAAGAGTCGGGAGCTGTGCTCGTGTGTCGTTGGGTTGTAGCGTGGAGAGTCTCGAGAGTACGTGAAGCTCCGAGAACGACCGAGCAGAGTCGGGAGCTTTGCAGTGAAGCTGTCTCCACCGTTATTGCCTGACAGTGTCACTGATTGTTCCAGAGTGTTTAGAGTAGATCTTCGACGAATGTAAAAAGTGTTATTGGAGCTGTCCTGATTAATACTGGCTAAATAAAGTGTGTTTCGATACTTCCCCAAGTGTCGCAGTTATTCACTCCAAATCTACGAACCCCGTACGAACGTGAAGGAAGAAAATAACGTAACAATTGGTGTCAGAAGAAAAACGCAACAATACAGTTCGTGTAGCCTTTCATGGAAATTAGCAGTTGAGATTGACAAATGCTATTTAGCTAGCTATTTCTAAATAAAATTGTGCGGAAATGTATTATTTTTAAATAATTTGATTAATCATTTGACTTTTTCAAAATCTTTGTTTGTCACTATATATTTTCCCTCCAAATTCTGGTAGTTTGATTTATTGTACTATTATTGACCATGACCTTTCTTCAAATGTTTGACTGCTAGTTAGTTTTGAAATAAAAGTCTTCAAAAGTGTTCTATTTTGTTAAGATTGTAGCTTTAGAAGTTTAAATAATATGCTCCAGTTTCTTTAGTATGAGTGTTAATTTAAGGTATTTAAAAAAATTACGTTATTTTTCTGTTTCATTATTATTGCTAGTGACAATAGTTTCATCAGTATACCCGTTAATAAAATAAAAAAGTTACAGAAGTGGGGAATTTGTTGATGAAGTTATATTCATTAATAAAGAGTAAGAAATTACAAATGGTCGTAGAATAGTTAGTATCCATTGAAATACCATTAATTTGTAGGTAAATTTGTAGCTGAAGTATGGTGTATATTTGTAATATATTTGTGAACGAGTGTGCACTTAATTTAGGTGGTCCAGTTTTCTAATTCAATAATTAAGTCAGGATAAAAAGTGTAAAGCTGAATGAAACTACTGCAAATTTCGTTTAGAAGTAACGTACAAAATAAGTTTTCGAAAACATAAAAATAAATACTTACGAAAGAATTTTTGAAAATAGTTTTAATTAATTTCTGGTTATTGTTGATAATCCATCTGTTATGAATCGTTTTATTCGTGGCCCACCAGCGGCCGAGCGGTAAAGTCGCTGAACACTGGTAGTTCGGTTCGAGGTTCGAATCCCGCGAACGGGCTGGCTGCATGGGTGTTTTCGGGGCTTTCCCCATGTGTAACGTGTATACGAGCCAGTTTCCCTTAGAAAGTACTTCACGAAGGCATCCCTCCCCTTAGGCAGATAGCCCTAGTGTGCTTTGCCATAATTAAATACACCACACACACGTTTTATTCGTGTAATTTTTAACGATAAGAAAAGTGTTTTTGAGAATGATGGTAAAATTATATATTGATTTTTTGAGTTTATTTTAACTCCATTTGCAATGAATCTCAGTCAGATGGGATTTTCATGAAATTTTGCTGATACATAAATAGTAGAAAAGTTATTCATCTGAGACTTGTTGGAAATTAAATTTTTTTAAAAAAAAGCTTTGATTTTTTTTTAATTAAGAGATTTTCTTGTGGATTCTTTTTCATTCGATGTAAATTAACTATTTTACAGCAGATACGTTTGATCTGGAAGAAGAGGACGACCATCCTTTAAGCAATATGACCTGTGGTTTATCGGCAGTTTCACCTGGTACTCGAATTATTGGCGGAAGGACAGCTATTAAAGGCAGTTGGCCTTGGCAGGTAATCTTTCAAAATATTTTTTATTTTAATTTTTACTCTATCCCTCTTCTTTCTTAAATGATTTTGATTGAAATTTCTACCATTTGTTTATTTATTTGTTATTATCTGTCACAGATGCGCCATTTGTCCATGAAAAACCGCAAGTTAGCGATTAGAACACGTGAGAATGCAAATCACTTGCAAAAGTATGCGCATTCCGTAAATCGTTTTCTTACAGATCGCTAATTTGTGATTTTAGAAGCCTGAATTCGACCCTAAGACATGAAGATATCGTTTTAAAATGTTTTAACCCTTTCTAAAATGAAACTGTTTGTTTGGTTATGCAAATCCACAATGGCTTGTAATTGGCTTACGACAGGAAGAAGCAAATGATTTACGCAATTAATCTAAACAATTTGGTGGAACTGAAAGATGCGATACACCGACATGTCCGTAACATTCCTCCTGATATGCTAAGAGCTGCTGTTGAGAATGCAGTAATACGATTTAACTTGCTTTCGGAAAATGGTGGACGCCATATTGAACCTGCTTTGTAACACGTTTCAGAAACGATTAAACATATTTTAAACCGATGTCTTCATGTCTTATTTCTTATAACAATATTGCATGCAGCTGCATTTCCCCTCTGGTGGTGAGTTTCTGAACTTTTTTTTTTCCCTCGGAAGATAAATTCCCGTAATCTCCTCTCCACGATTACCAAGTTTGATAACATTTGTTCCAGTAGTTTTCCTTTTATGACCATTTCAAAGTGGACCATTTCAAAATGGTCATAAGGCTTTTGTGAAGGCGATTCGTTGTCGGAAGCTATCATTTGTGCTAAGAATCTGTACTTGGATCTTCTCCGAAAAACACCAGGTATTATTTACTAGTGTTATTTATTAGGAAAATTGATTTATATGTTGATATTTTTGGGTGCGGAACGGATTAACTTTCATTATTTTCAGTGGGAAAGTTTGTTTCTAGATACGAGAAATTCGCTATATGAGCTCAATGCTGGGGAACAAATTAAACTCGTATCTCGAACCTCCACTGTAATTGGATTCCTTAATGAATGTTTTTCGGATATTTGCAATCCACAAGCCTTTGTAATTTGGCGAACCAACCTTTTTCTGTGTCGAAGCCAATCTTTGTATTCACCTATCTCTACGCGTATGTGCTTCTATAACAGCAAAATAAAGTTCAGAATCCTATTAACTTCAGCATCAGAAAGTTGAAAGAATAGAACTTACTTTAATTGCACATTACCCTATGATTGTCCACTTTAACATTATTTCTTTGAAAATCCATAGCGGTTCGCTAGTCGACGTTCACTTAAAAAAAAAAAAAAAAAAAAAAAAAAAAATAATAATAAATAATTAAAAATAAATAATAAAAACAGAGATATGAATTAAAAATTCGAAAAAACGATCATTTTCGCCCTCATTTTTCCGAGTGGCAACAGTGTCGCGCATTCGAGATAAAAATGCTTTATTTCGAAAATTGTTGCCACTGCTGTCTAGATAGTAGAGTTTGCTATTCAAATTGTAGACTTTGGTATTATAGGTGTAGAATTTTACGAATTCTATACCTATAAAGAAGAATGTCTGTTTGTGTGTTTGTTCGCTTTATTGATTTGTGATCAGTTATGATAGATGTTTTGTCACATTTGAATCAATTAAAATTGAATGCAGGTGAAGTATTGGATGGAACTTGAGCTTTTTCGACCAATTTATTAGAAAGACTAAAATCGTTAAAAACTGCGTGCCATTGTTGCTGATATAATAAGAGAGAACTAGTTTATTTTTCTATCCAATTTTTTTATGTGAGTTTCGTATCGGATCAGACTGAAAAATGTATGACTATGAATGGCATTTTTTGCATCGTTATTAGAGAAGGATTACAGCGGTACCATTCTCTCTGTTATTAGATGCATTACTCTCAGTCTAAATTAACTGGCATCGGGTACTTCAGCTAGTAATATTATAAATCTGGAGAATCTCGGATGGTAAACGTGGATTTAACCGAAGTATTTTTCGCCAATCAAAGCGATGTCGAATAAAATTTTCTGAATAATGCTATTAGGCGTTTCTAGATATCTGTTGCACCAAATTGGCAACCCTTATTTTGAACTGCCAACCAAAGTTGAAGAAAATCTGAAAAATGACATTTTTGTATCAAAAAATGAATTTGACGAGACTCGCTCTTTGAGGTAGATAGATCTAACTGAGATTGATAAATTCACGGCGAAAATGCTTAAAATTGTTTAGTAGGGCTGGAGAATCAGTTTGCATGAAAACAGAATTCGTCGCATGGTAAAATACCATAGGTTAGGCACAGTAACATGAATGTTCAAATGATTCTTTCCCCTTCCGTATGCAAGCAATTCCGTATTAAGAGTTCTTTTCCGTATTAGGAGGGGAATATTAAATTTGGATTATTCTGATATGATGCATTTTATCACAGATTTTAGACAAATGTACCTAAAATTATACTATCCACTAGAAATATGAAGGATTTAAAAATAATTTAAACCTTTTGGAAACGCCAAGTTAAAATGCTTATTTTTTATGATAAAATACATAATAATGCCAAATGTCCATATCTTTTACATTCCTTATGTGATTAAAGAAAAACAAAATTGAATGATTTATGTAATGCCAGCACCGGAAAATTTAGGTTGATATTTCTGTATAAAAGCTGCGAACATCGCACAAGCGTATATAACTAAATATTATCATCTAATTAAGAGATAAAAATTCTCCATGAAATAAAAAAATCAAAGCTATCTTTGAGGTCCTCAGAAGAAAAGACAGGAAAAAGCTTTATAAACCATTTTACTAAAACTGAATATTGATATGCTGAACAAAGAAATGATTGAAGAAACAGAAAAAGTGTATGGCAAGACTTAGCACTAGCGGCCGAGCGGTAAAGTCCCTGAACACTGGTAGGTCGGTCCCAGGTTCGAATCCCACGAACAGGCTGGCTGCATGGGCGTTTTTGTGGTTTCGAAGCTTTAATATGAGCCAGTTTCTTTTAGAAAGTCCTCCGTGAAGACATCCCTCCTTTTCCTGCGGTGCCTTAGCGTGGAACACGTAAATAATAATAATAATAATACTTAGCATTGCGTGGGGAATTCTAAACATATGCTACTAAGCTGCTTTAATTTTTTTGCGGTTGAATTCTCCATAACGCAAGTGCGAAGAAAACGATGTTTAATAATGAAGCTAATCCACCAGCGGCCGAGCGGTTAAAGCCGTTGAACACTGGTAATTCGGTCTAGGGTTCGGGCGAACGGGCTGGCTGCATGGGCGTTTTCGTGGTTTTTCCCATGTGTAACGTGGATACGAGCCAGTTGCTTTGAAAAAGACCTCAACAGGGCGTCCTTCCCTTTTCGTGTAGTGCCTAAGGGAGAAGCGCATAATAAGTAAATAAATAATAAAGCTAATAAGACAAAAAAATGAGGATTAGCAGCAGTAAGTGCAACAGCAGATTGGTAGACCGCGAGCTCAGCGAGAGTGTAAAAAACTTAAGCTTTTTTGGGAGACGGTTTAATTCCAGAAAACTTTCAGGAACTTATTATTTAACCTTAGCAAACCATAGCAAGCTTTTTTGTGAGACAGTTTAATTCCAGAAAACTTTCAGGAACTTAATATTTGTTACTTTATTTGTCAAATAAAATAGGATCATTGTTATTTTTCTCGCCCTTTGTATCATCATGATTTCACCATTCCTTTAGATGGTATTTGCCAGAGGTATCTTTTAGTAGTTTGAGATGTTACACGACTCAGATAAAAGAAATTCCCCCGTCCCTGAAGCTGCGAAATTCCACTTTTAAAGGGTTGGGAGAGATTTCCTCCGATTTGATTTTCTGACCAACAATACTGGGCAACAGAGGATTTATGTTTTTGTTTTTATTCTAAAGAGGTTATCACATATGGCTACAGTCCCTGCTAGACGGGACTTTTCTGAGAAACCAGATTCTGGGCCCTGGTTTAAATGGCAACATTCCTAGAAAAAAGAGCCCCGCTGGAAGCGAAGTCCCGCCTAGCTACGGAAAAATGTTGCGGCTACGCGGATTTTTTCTTACCTTACCGAAAATGTCTCGGATCCCGGGTAGAGGCAACCAATCAGACGAAAGTTCTGCTTCTGAAGGATCACGTGAACCCAATTTGAGCAATAATCGATTACTGTTTGGCGTTCAAGTCTTTGTAGTAAGTGAAAATGGTAACCTAGCTACGTGTGTTTCCTGGAATTGTGCGGGTTCTGAGAATTGTCCCTTTCGACGTCAAGTCCCGCGTAGCCGAAACATAATGTGATTGGAAACTAACATATGCCTCACGATCTTTAGTACGAAATTTGAAGCTCTTAGTTTCAGAAATGTAAATTAAACCCCAATGGCAAGGAATCCTGCATGTAAACCATAAGTTCCGAAATGGGATCTCTAAGAAAGAAACTCAAATTTAATTGATACAAGAGAACTGCACTTCTGCAGCTGAAGCAGAAGATTCTATATTTAAACCTTTGAAACACTATAAACGATAGTAAGGATAAGGATAAGGAACGGGGGACGTGGGTACTATGCCTCTACCATACGGTTAAATAGTATAGCACCACGTCCATCATGATCTAGGGAGCCCTTAAGACAACACTAATGCAAATACGTGAGTACATAATTGGAAATGAATGATTGATTACAAACAATTGTGGTATACCTTGGCAGTAAAATTGTTGCATTTGTGTAAATAACAAGTTACGATACATTTAACATAGTACAATGTAAATACGAAGTCATATATGTTATCGCATAAGACTTCTAACAAGTGATATATCATTATACTTTATACATTACACAGCGCGAGGATAAACTCCTGAGGAGAAGTCAAACATATAACTATAGAGAGATTATAATACGATAAAAATACGGTACAGTATGATAAAAATCCAGTACAGGATCACAAAAATACAGTAGTTTACAGCAGATTACAGTAATGATGAATACAAAGGTATGGACTAATATGTTTGCGGTAAAATACATTGAAAATATTATGCCATTAAAAAATAGATGTGCATGTGACATGATACAGTTTAAACAGTTGTAGCATACCTTGGCAATAAAGAATTGTTGCATTTGTTGTAAATAGCAGATTACGATACATTTAACATAATACAATGTAAATACGAAGTCATATATGTTATTGCATAAGACTTCTAATAAGTGATATATGATTATACATAATACATGATACAGCACGAGGGTAAACTCCTGAAGAGAAGTCAAACATATAGTTGTAGAGAGATTATGGGTTGATAAAAGTGCAGTACAGTATGATAAAAATGCAGTATAGGATGATAAAAAACAGTAGTTTACAGCAGATTACAATAATGATGAGTACATAAGTATAGACTAATAAGTTTGCAGTAGTTTACATTGAAAATATTATGCCAGTTAAAGATAAATGTACTTATGACATGATACGGTTTAGAATAATTTAAATACATAGATGTTTAAATTCATAGACTAAAATAGATGTACATATGAAATAATACAGTTTAAAATGCACATTATAAATCCATTAATTAATGAATAAATAATGGATAGAAGCAATGCAAGGCGGTATATAAATACTGTGTTGAATATAATTGCATATGTATCGATGATATTTTGTTACAAAACATTTTAGACATTTGTATGAAATGTCTAACAAGTAATATTAATACAAATACAAATACAAATACATAACACTATATTTTTCTTCAGATGTTAAGGGCATTACACTGTTAAAAGCATAAAGCAAAGTAGACAAGTTTATAAGGTATTTCTCCCGCCTTCTTAGCATGGCTTCGTGGTGTAGTGGTCAGCAAGCACGGCGCGTATTCGAGAGGCCCGTCGTTCGAGTCCCGGCGAAGGCGTTGATCAATTTTCATCTCTCTTCCTTCGAAAGAGCACGCAGTATCTTCGCACCTTGTAAAAGCGAGGAAATCGGGCTGGATTACCTCGAAATCAAAACAACATTTGTTTAAAACAAAATCCAATTTATGTTTGAAATTTAACCGAATTTTAAAGGAAAGATTAATTAACTAATAGTACAGGGTTATCCAAATTAAACTTCCCCAACTCAGAGGCCTGTGCAGAGTGTTGTATGGGTCATAATGGGATGAAATTTTAAAAACAGACACTTCAGATCATGCGCTCGATATTTATTAAACAAAAAAAATTAGTACAAGAAGTTTCCGATAGGTGGCGCTGCAGATCAACAAGACATTCTACAAATGTTCTATATGTGTGCCGTGGTTCTCCACAACTCTTTCCATTCGCAAAGCAGTGTGTTCCACAGCGGAACGCAGTATGTTCACATGAATTCCACGAACATGTCGAATAATTGCGTCTTTCAGATGTGCCAAGGTCGCTGGGTGTTCTCGGTAGACCCGAATGGCGAATGGCCAAAAGTCGAATGGCGTGAAATCAGGCGAGCGGGGAGGCCAAGCTGTAGGGAAACAGCGGCTGATCACACGTGCATCGGTAAAAGTTGCCCGTAACACCTGTTGAACGCCACGAAGAATATGGGGAGGTGCACCATCCTGCATAAATATCGTGTCCTGGAGGCGGCCACTTGTTGCAGTACAGGGATCACAAACGTTGTCAACATGTTCTGATACAGTTTCCCTGTGACAAAGCAGATTTTGAACCCTGTTGGAGTCACCTCTTCAAGAAAATAAGGTACAATAACGAATGTTGCAGTGAAACCGCACCATACAGTAACCTTTGGAGGGTTCAAGAGCACTTGATGGATTGCATGCGGGTTTTCACTTGCCCAAATGCGGCAGTTGTGCGTATTCACTTGACCGTTCAGGTGAAAATGGGCCTCATCCGTACAAAGGATGTTCTAAGGCCAAGCAGCATCGACTTCCATTCTGGCAAGGAAGTGCAACGCAAATGTTTCCCGAACTACAGCATCCCCGTCGGACAGCTGATGACGACTATGGATTTTGTAAGGAAAATAACCGAGGATTCGACGCATCACACGCCAGACGGTCGTATATGGCATATCAACAGCACGAGAAACAGTTGGCACACTGACAACACCATGTGGCGATTGGCTAGTGGGGTCCACGACCGCCGAAGCAACGTCTTCTACGCGTGCAGATTCCACAACATGTCCTCTACCTGGTAAAATTCCCAGCTGTCCCGTTCTTTCGAACTTCTTCATCATGTCTCATAGAGCTCGTGGTGTCATTGGTCCTCGGCGTAAGATCTTCAGCCGACGAAATGCTCTTATCGCAGCACAGGAGTTCTCTTCATTCTGGTAGAAAAGTTTCACTAACAGAGCTTTGTCTTTCAAAGTCGCCATTGTGCATCAGCGAGCTGGAAACAACTGCCTGTGCAAGGCCTGTCTTCCACTTTTGTAGGGCTCGTCTTTTGGATACGTTGCGCAGAAGCTTTATTTCTGCAAATCACGCTGCTGCAATATGCACATTACTAGCGTTACAGCGCCCCCTATCTGCAACTTCTTGTACTAATTTTTTTTGTGTAATAAATCTCGAGCGCATGATCTGAAGTGTCTGTTTTTAAAATTTCATCCCATTATGACCCATACAACACTCTGCACAGGCCTCTGAGTTGGGGAAGTTTAATTTGGATAACCCTGTACTTTTAGAAAATAACCTTACTTAGCGAAACTGATTGCAGTATTACAGTTTGTAGTTATGTTATCTTGACCATCAGAGCAAGTGACAAAATCAGTGTCATTTGACCAAACATGACCAACCTCACTCCTGACCAATGACAATTTAGTCTTTTATTGCATAATAACTAAATTCTATTTTATTCTTTTCTTCAGGTTCTCCTTCTGAATAAGAAAGACCAACCCTTTTGTGGAGGCGTATTGCTATCCACAGATTGGGTCCTCACCGCAGCTCACTGCGTACGGCGGGACATGTCCGTTCGAGCCGGGGAGCACGACGTTAGGGACAACGAAGACACAGAGCAACAGGAAAAAGTGTCCAAAACCTTCGTGCATCCCAATTATGATCTGGTGACGGTTGAAAGCGATCTGGCACTTCTTAAGATGAGAACTCCTTTTGAATTGAATCAGTTCGTGCAGCCTATTTGCCTTCCTCAACCGGATTACGAGCTTCCGTACTATTCCAGAGGAACCATTTTGGGTAGGTCGTTTTGTAATCTTCGTAAACCCGGTTTTGAGACTGCAATTATTTCATTAAAATATTGTCTATTATACAGGGTGTTTATAAAGTCCCGGAACCATTTTGATGTTTAATAACTCATAAAATAATAAAGGTAGATTAAAATGAAACATAAATGGTTAGATAGACTCAAAAAGTTTCGTGACTCTTGTCAATGAACTTCCACGTGTGCCCCCTTCGTCGCACGGAGAATATCAAGTCGATATTCAATTTCACGCCAGGTACCGGCAAGCATGTCGGCATCCACAGAGGCTATTGCGGTTGTCATTCTGACTTTTAGGTCATCCATATTCGACATTCTATTAGGAGAAAATACAGGGTGGGATAAACACCCTGTATTTTCTCCCTCCTTTCTTGCATGCCTTCGTGGTGTAACGGTTAGCACACTCGGCGTATTCGAGGGGTCCGGGTTCGAGTCCCGGCGAGGGCATTGCTCATTTTTAATGTCTCCTGCTTCGAAAGCACCTAATGACTCTACACTAAAAAGTATTCATTTGCAGGAATTGTGCCTGTGTAAATGTACTTGTGGCAACTTGTGGCAAATCTTTCAGTAGACGTGTAGGCGACTTTCGCTATATCTAAGATAGAACAGAACTCAAGAAGGGTGTAATAGAACCTTTTTATTTTAACCTCTTCGTCGTCCGTAACGCGTCTAGTGCGTTCAAGTGAAACTTCCGCAGGAAGTTTATGAACAATCTCTGTCATCTTCAGTTATCCAGTAAGTTACTTCCTGGATCATTATTTGATGATGTTAAGTTCTGCGGAGCCATTTAATTACGAAACTCATCTACTATTTGACTGTCTTTGTTTGCTATATTTTATAACATCCAATGTTTTCTCAACTAAAAGTTTGGGTAGTTATTTAACTAGCAAAACTAGGATAGTTATTTAACTAAATATTTAACTATTAGAGAAATATAGATGTAAAAGAAACCTACCATCTTGAAATTTATTGATTTCAAAAATTCGCTCTCTTTTTAGCGCTACTTTTAACAAAAATGTCTCGATGTTTTAACGGTTAAAAACTATATACAGTACAACTCAATTATCCGAACTCCGACTATCGGAATTGCTTTCAGAATTTAAGTAAAAGAGAGTGGGAAGAGACAGGAAAAGATGAAACCGGAAAAGAAGACTAACATAATTCTACCATTTTCAAAGCAAAAAGTGCACAATTTACCAATATATAAGAATAAAGAAAACTATGCTCATTAATTATAATGGTTCACCCGAAAATTCTGGCCCATCCCCAAAGACAGGAAAAAAATAATTCATAATTAGAATAATTAGGAAACCCCTCCCAAAAAAGATAATTCTGTTTTTTGAAAAGAGATTTCCACTTTATTAAAATTGAAATCGAAAGTGAAAAAACAAAATACCTCAGTGAAAAATTTTAAATAAAAAATGTTTACTTTTAAACAGATAATCCAATGAATAAAGATGTGAGTGAGCTTATAAAACACTGTAGAAAAAAACCGAATTAGAACGTACAAGAAGTAATTAAGAACCTCGAGCACTCTCATTAGACACTAGTCTTATCTGTGAGATGTGGAACAAAAGTGACATTCAAGTTTGCCATTTTGGCTTTATTGGCGAAACTAAAAAACCTTGGCGAGAAAGCAATCACTCAAAAGGCTAAAATCTTGTACGAAAATGTAATTTTGAAACCAAAAGAAAAACTTTTATAAAGAAAATTTATTTATATTCGTTAATCAAAGAAAAAATTGCATAATAATGAATGAAATTTAAGTAAATTATTATTTGAATTTATTAATTATGAATTTCAATTTGGTCTTTGTGAAATATTAGTTCTAATTTTCTTCCTTTATGTCTTTAATGATATTTTTTTCTGCAGCTTAATGCGCGACGAAAATACTAGGCATATTTATGTTTGGTTTTCAAAAGAATTTTGTAATTATATATATTTATATACTTTAGTGTAACTTTTGAATTTATATATATATACTTACAAAGCGCTAATACTGTGTAAAGTTGAGTGTTAAGCTGATAAGCAATTATATATATATATATACCCACTCTGTTACTCGGCTCAATGAGCTCAGTTTTTTTTATTCTTATATGTTGGTAAATTGTGCATTTTTTGCTTTAAAAATGATTGAATTATGTTATTCTTATCTTCCGGTTAAATTTTTTATGCCTTTAGTAAATCTGCATGCAATATTTGTAGAATTACCTACAATTTAAAAGTTGTTTAAGTGCGGCTAAGCCAAAGTATTTACCATGGCGGCCATGTTTGTTTATATTTGAAACTTAGCAGAAGAGTGAATTAAGGTTTTCTGTACCTTTAGTGTCTTTTTGCAGAGCGGGACCAAAAGGAAACATTTAGTTTTGTGGACCGAAAAATCTGTCTTCTTGCCTGCTAGCCGAATTTTTATTTTTTCGTAGAAACTGTAATTTAAATTGTAATTTTTTTTTTGTTTTAATTGGTTTAACTATTCTTGGTGTTTTATGTTTTTCTATATCTTTCAAGTTTTAATATACACTCATGTCCATAAATTAAAGATAATGCAAGATCAGGCAAAGGAAGAGTTAGAAACAAAACAAATTTGACTTATTTGTAAAGCTTATTTATTAAACAAAAGGTAAAGAGCAAAAAAAGATGCTATATGCTTGATATTATTAAAAGAATTAGCGAATTTTTCTCCCTGGAGCAAATTACAAAAAACATCAATTTACAAAAAACCAATATTACATGGTTGATATGATTGCTAATACATTGTATGTCTCCCAGACGATGCAATAGAGTCCGTACAACGCCTAGGCATGCTGAGTATCAAATTATCGATCTGATCTTGGGGGATATTACACCACTCAAAAAGCAATGCTCTCCGAAGTTCCCGTAGACATGTAGGAGGAGGTTGACGGACTGCAACTCGTCGTCCAAGCATGTCCCACACGTGCTCTACTGGATTCAAGTCCGGTGAGAATGCTGGCCAGTCCATACGGATGATATCCTCCGAATGAAGGCATTCGGTTACGATGTTTGCATGTTGAGGACGGGCTTTGTCATCCATAAACACAAATTGTGCGCCCATGGCGCCCCGAAACAAACATCCCGATATATTTGGCTTGTCATAGTTCCAATTTGAACATGCAGGTCAGTTCTGGAACCCAGAATAATTCCACCCCAAACGAGCACTCCTGCACCACCGTAACGGTGTCGTTCAATGATGTTTTCTTGGTGGTAACGGGTACCTGGAGCTCTCCATATGAAAGTCCGGCAAGAATCAGACTGCAAGCTAAACCTGGACTCGTCGGAAAACATCACACAAGCCCACTGTTGCGGTGTCCACAACGCATGCTCTCTACTTCAGGCTAACCGCAGGCGACAGTGAGTTTCAGTAAGTGGACGCATCTGACAGGTCTACGAGCATATACACCAATCTGTCCTAAGCAGCTGCACACGGTCTGCCTTTAAATTGTCGTACCAGTGGCTGAAGAGAGCTGACGAGACAGGTCTGAGGCTGTGCTCTTCCTTTTTTTTTGGCAGTAACTGCCAAATACTGGTCCTCATTCGGCGTTGTAACGTCTACTCACATTATCATCATCTTGGAATCGTTGCCAAAGCCTGGAGATGACACTCTGGGCAATTCCAAGTTCGTCTGATACTTACAGTTGGGTACGCCCACATTCCAGACGGCCGATAATTCTACCACGTAAAAAATCATTCAAAATGTGTTTTTTGTGTCTTAACTATTCGGTTATTGCACTAAAATGCTTATAAAGCGCCTGCGAACAATTTTACTTCTTTGCCTGTATTCCTTGTATATCACTCTCTTACACTCTTGTCATTGTGATGTACCATCGGTGTCATGTGAGTACTTCCTGAAATTTGCATATGATTCTTGAAGATATGTGTAGTGATTTTACATGTGATATATTTATTTTAGAGTTCGATTTCCGCGTGACTCCGAATTATCCTTAATTTATGGACATGAGTGTAGATTTTTTGAGTTTTTATGTATTTTTGCTTTGCCGCGAAGTGAGAACTAAATTAATTAAATAAGAAATCTATCTCTAAATGAAATTCGAGGAAATAAGTTTAAATGAAATGCCGGAAAAAATGCGTGTAATTTTATGTTCCGTACAAGAAAGTCACGTGGTATACACATCAGATTTTGTTTCTACTTATAATGATAAATATGTCAACTAAATTTGAGGCATTTAGTGGATGTGTAAGAATTGTAAATATGTAAATTATTTCTAAATATCTGTTATTGGGAAACGATCATTTCTATTTTAGTCTTATTATACGCCAAGTAAGTGAAAGATCTTTTTCTATTTCTTGTTGCCTGCATATTACTCTTTTTAAAATGTCTCTTTTAGACATGCTTAAAATCTTTTATACTATTTAATATACTTTTCTAATTTAAATAATTTTATTAGTTTAAAGAATAAAAAAAAATTTTTTTTGATTTTCTTCCAAAATTGCAAATTATTTTTCACCTAAAAATCATTTTAAATTTTAATATTGTTTTTCGCATTTTATTTTCTCCATTTTAAAATTAAATTTTACATTTTTCAACCTTTAATTTATGTAATTAAAATTCAGAATTTATCACTAAGTTTACAATTTCCCAACATTTTCATTTTTCAGTTTTACAGGCTACATCTGTACAGCTCAACTATGTTCTTTTTTATTATTATTATTATCATTTCCAGTTTATTAAAGTTCCCTCCTACCCCTCAACTCGACTCTACACTTCACAATATTCTCGAAATTTTCATAAAGAAACATGAAATAAATTTTCATAAAGAAACATTTTCATAAAGAAAATGTGGTTTTGAATTAGTTTTGTGCGGTTTTGACCCACTTTACTAATGTGGTTTTGAAGGTTTTACTTTTTATATTCATTGGAATTAATTTTTAGTTGAATAAATTAATTCAATTTAATTTTATTTCATTTCTCCAGTTTGTTTTAGGCATATTGCCTTTCACATTTTAAACTGTTAGCTTCTGTCCTTTTTTTTTTTTTGGCCTTTTTGTTTTTTCCTCAGTTCGGAAACTTTCGTACATAAATTATCATTAAAGGTTTTTATTTGTTTTACTTTTAAGTTAATTTCCCTCTAAAATAAATTCGTTTTTTCAAACTTTTGACTTTAAAATATATTTGCTTTTGATTTGGGAAAGTTGCTGTTGATCTATAACGTTTATTAGCAATTCTGCATTTCCTTCCGTTCAAAATTTATTTAAATATTTATTTAGATATTGCTTTTAATTTATTTAGTTGTTTTTCTGGTTTCTTATTTTGATATTTATTTTATACTATTCATTTTTACAGTATTTTTTGTTTAGGGTCACGTCGGAATAGGTTATGTCGTAATAATAAATTCAAATTAAAAAAAAAATAATTTAAAAAAAATATTTTATTGCATTTTTTTAAGGGTCTTTAAAAATTTTTAATATTTTGTTTTTATTTGTCCTTTGAATTTTTCGTTTGAATTATTTCAAGTATTTACTGTTATCCAGATATAATTCAGAAATATGGCTCTGTTGAAATTTTTTCAGTCTCACCTTGAAACAGACGAAAGAATTTTCAGAAATTTGTGATACAGTAAAACTCCAGTTATCTGAATCTTTTAGGACCGGACCCCGTTCGGATAACCAAAAAATTCAGATAACTGGATTTTTTCCGAAGAAAGGGTCTAGGTACACTTTAATTAATTGCTGTATGTACTGTATATTGAAAATGGGAGAAAAAATATTTTTTAAGAGGTTTTAATTAATTAAAATTAAAAGGCAACACTTTTACGTACATGTTATAATAGCGTACTGAACCGTACTTGCAAGTGCCGAAAGTCATGGTGAACATCTCGGTCAAAGTAAGCTGCCTGACGGACACCGTGCCTGGAATTCAAATTTCTTAGCCAGCCGTTACTTGCTGTAAAGGATGACCAACCAGGCTTCTGAGCTAAGATCTTAGCTTTTTCACAAAAAATCGGATCCGAAACTGGGCTCCCCATAGAACGCTGCTGCAAAAGCCATTTGAAAACAACATCTTCTAAATTTTTGTTTGTTGCTGCCTTCATTGATTTTCTTGAAGAACTTCCATCTTCGTTTTCAAGCAGTGATACCAAGTTTAAAAGTGCAGTTTTGCCCCTTTTAATGTCCGAAATAAAGCGGGACTAAATACTGTTTTGTACTTTACAGATCTTAAGGCAGTATCGATTTTATCTGACAGTCGTAGCGTTGTCAGATATCTTTCAAACTGGCAAAGAGTTGGTGATAGGGCCGGACCCGCAATTCTTAGCAAACAGACAGGTTGACAGGTCTCGTCACTCTGTGAAGTGCATCTTCAGAGGATTCCTTCCCATGTTGATATAGATTATGAATTTTGCGCAAACTTTTAAAAATTTAAAAATTTCGAGGAGAGGTCTGCGATCACCGAGGCAAGCGGCAGTACGATCGCTGCGCTCCGTAAAAAAGTGAAAAAATTTCCTTTCCTCTTGGTGATTATCAATTAAATTACTTTGAAAAAAAAAAATTTTTTTTTTTTTTTTTTTTTTTTTTTTTTTTTTTTTTTTTTTTTTTCCCTACAACACCTATATCATTCTAATGAATTTCGGCTCCGATGTTGACGAGAATAAAACAGCGGGCAATATAAGGATATACTCCGAAAGCCTGGAATTTTAAGATAAGTACTTTTCTTTCATCTAAACTAAATAAAATTTCTATAAATAAGTGCCTTTAAATCAATAAATCTTAATTTTTCATCAGTTTAAAGCATTAAAAAATACTTGAAATTGCCATTGTTTGTGGCTTCCTTTGTGTATCAACTCCAAACAGACGCCAACGTTATCAGTTCACGTCTGTCAACACTTACAAAGCCCTTAAGGAATCTCGAGAGAGGGAAAATTTGGGCATCGCGCTATTTCCCTCTCGGATCTTCTGGATTCTCTTTTCTTTTTAGATCGCTTGAATATAGTTTCGCCTTTAAATAATATTATACCTCACCGATTTTTTCTCATATTGTTGTTTGCTATCTGTTAAATGTCCATATGTAAGGGATGGTTTATTCTTCACCGCCTTAAATGAATTTTTAGAACAATGAGCTTATATAAATAACAGTGTGCCTCATTGTGTTATACTAACATTAATTAACTAGTAATAAATTATGATAGTAAAATAACTAATCTTGTAATAAATTATGATAGTTAAATTAATAAATACTGTTTAATTTGTGTTTTTAATACATATACTCAGTAATTTACACACACACACATATATATATATATTTTTGGGTGTGTGCGTTTTTTTTTTTTTTTTTTGTTCTATGTTGTTAGTATGCTGCTGTTTTTTGAAAAATGTATGAAAATGTTGAAAATGAAAGTAGCATAAGTTACTTTGGTTAAATTAATATACACTTTTGTTTGATGACTTTTGTTGATATCTCAGGATGCAAGCATACATATTACTTTATATTCCATGCTAAATATCTTGATACGAAGCATTTTAACACCGTCAATATTTGTTTTTCCCCCCCCCCCCCCCAGTAACACATCTATTCACCATTACCAAACACACTCACTACACACACACACACACACCTGTGAGACACTATTTATTGTAAATGAAGAAGGAGAAGGTAAGAAGAAGAAGAAGGAGAAGGTTTGGGCATTCCCCGTTTCGAGAACTCAATCTCATTCCGGGTCCACTCCCCCTTAGGGCACATCGTGGTGGTTCAACCTCCACTATTACCCCTTAGGAGAGCAGCGCACCACCTGGAGCAAGCCCCAGGTACCACCGGTCGTCTAATGCTCCTACCAGTCGCTTGGGCGATCCCGTCGCTGCGGGACATTATCCAGCGACCCCGGGGGAGACCCCGGGTTACTAGTACCACGCCGCGCTAGGACGTGCCAGACTCCGGGGCCGGCCAATAAGTGACCTTTCCCAGAGCCTTCAGAACCACCAAGTTCATAAATTTTATACCCCCGTGGCCGAGACTGCCTAGGTACAGATCCTAGCCAGTAGCTTCGCAGAATTCTCTACGTCGACCCCCGGGGGGGAATTGTAAATGAAGACAGCTTCTTCTCCTTTTAACTACACTCATGGACACAATCGTATTTTAGGATATTTTCTACTTCTTTTCCTTTTCTTTCTATAGGCCCTTATTTTTTACCTCTATTATTTTTGGGCCATTTATTTTAAATTTTATTTTGTCCCATCTTTTCTTCCTGGCTTTTTGAACTCGTACAAGATGTACGAAGTTCCTTTTTACTCTCCTCAAATACGAAATTGCCCCTCTTTCTATATACCTTTCCTTCGCACCTATGCTTGATTTTTCGCCAATCGGTGCAGAAAGACTTAGCGGGTGCAAAACAAGACATCTGTCTACTTTGTCTGTCTGTCCATGTTGATATATGGGGGGGAATGAAATGGCAGACATTCTGGCGAAGGAGGCTTCTGAAGAACCTTTGCCAATTATCAACTCACTGACATATCTTGAACTGCATTCCATTAGAAGACATGCTGACAGGCAAATTTGGCTCGAGTCATCCCTGGTATCAAGCTGATTGTCCTGGAAGATCCCTTGCTATGGATTGCGAAAGATGTGTTCAGACAACACTTTCCGGATTCTTCAGTGGGCACCTGAGGGGACTTACTTTTGAGAGTGGTATCAAGATGCACCCAGTTTGTTTTAAGCGTCACAATGCACCCGCATCACCGGCACATATCCTTGAGTGCCTGGAGTTGTCTCTTGTGGACCTTTACGGGTCTCCTAAGCTTGTTTTCTATTTTTTAAAGGTGAATGGACTCGTGGACCTCGTCTAGTATATTCCTAGGCATGGAGATTAGTAACAACAACAATGTCCGAAATCGTTGATTGTCCGACACTGCGTTTACGTCTTAATTTTTTCTTAAATTCTGAAAGCGATTAAGATAGTCGGAGTTCGGATGGTTGGAGTTGTAGTGTATTATTTTTTATATATTTTATTTTTGTTTTGGTTTTGATTTATGTATCTGCTATACTGTATACACTCTTGATTTAATTATCTCTTTATTACGAGGGCAATCCCCCCCCCAAAAAAAAAGGTCTCCTATAATTTTAGATATACAAAGAACCGTTTATTTTCTATAATTGCTACATCACTTTAAAGATTGAAGAATGCTTTATTTTTCAACATAGTCGCCATTTCGGTCGATGCATTTTTGTAGACGCTGTGGCAGTTTTACAATGCCCATGTCATACCAGCTTGCCGCCATGCCCTTCAGGAAGCGTTGACCCTCATCTTTCCAAGAAGTTCAAGAAGTTGTCCTTTTCGTCTCCATAGCGGCGAAGAAATTTGCGGGAAGAATCAACCCGTTGCTGTTTGTGGTCTTCTGTCAACATACGCGGCACCCATCTTGCATACACCTTCCGATATTGCAACTTTTCCGTTAAAATCCTGTGGATGGTGCTTCTGGAAACCTCAGGAACCAAAATGCAAAGAGCATCCAGAGCGATCCTCCGATCTTTACGCATGAGATCCTCAACTTTCGTGATTGTCTCGTCGGCAATTGACGGCCTCCCGCTCCTTTCTTCGTCATGAATTTCAGTACGACCGGCTGTAAACTCTCTACACCACTTGCGAACGCTTTTGACATCCATGCACGACTGTCCATACACTTCCGTCAATAGGCGGTTAATTTCAACCGGTTCAACGCCTTTTGCGTTCAAAATCGAATAACTGCGCGCACTTCGCACTTGGCGGTAACGTTTATCGGGAGCTCCATTTCGAATGGCTGCCAAGCCAAGACTGAGCATCCGAGCCAAAGAATGTCAAAGAATTCTTTGTCCGAGCGAAGCGCCTGTGTGCTTATGTGGTAGCGGAGAAGGCACCACTCACAACAGTGTTGCCAACAACAGTATTAAAACTTTCTCTACGTCCCCAAAAAATAGGAGACCTTTTTTGCCTTCGTACATACATATGTATATGAAAATATATGCGTGTGCCTGTAATTTCTGCGACATCCTTTAGTCGCAGAAATGTTTCAAAGGGCAAATAAATTCAGATTCAAAGGGAAAATTAAAAAAAAAAAAATGTTAAAAATAATTGTCCAAAAGCATAAACGGAGTCATGGGTGGATTTTAAAAATAATGCAGACGAATTTAAAAATTTTATTTAAATAATAAGTATATATTTTTTTTTCGTGAGATTTTGGTTCCATTGTGAGTGCATTTCATTATTATTCCTTTTCACGGTACTAATAGAATACTGTTACAGGATGGGGCTCGCGAAGAGCTGACACTGTTTACACAAGTGACGTTCTTCATCAAGCGGATGTGCCAATTGTTCCACCTAAAGAATGCCAAAAGGCTTATAAAGGCCACTACATCAGGGGCAACATGCTCTGCGCTGGATATGAAACTGGAAATGTGGATTCATGCCGAGGAGACAGTGGAGGTCCCCTCATACACAAACAGAAAGACGGCACTTGGGCAGTCTACGGTGTGACCAGCTTTGGAGACGGATGTGGCCAAAAAAAGAAATTTGGTATTTATGCCAATGTCGTCACCCATTTATCCTGGATCATAGACATCATCAAAAGTCAGGACGAAGAGTTGCCGGACAGTACAGGACCTCTTGGAAAATAATCAACATAGTATACAGTGTCCATGAAAACAATGTACACCTTACACACACACACAAAAAAAGGGGGGCCTAAATAATATATCTCTCGTTCTATTAAACCGATTGCCGAAATTTAACTTGCGTTTTCCATGTCTCGAAAGCGCGACTTAGGGTATATATTAGATTTATATATAACATTGTTCTAATGCAGATGCTTTGATATAGAATCGGACTTTTTCTGAAATAATATTACGATTTTTTTTCGTATTTCCATTCAACGACTCAAATCATGCCAAAGTGCCAAGTTTTGTAAAAATCGCACGAGTAGTTTTTTAAAAAATTAGCTCTAAAAATTTTAAGCCCATATCACATGGCGTTTGTTTCACACGAACAACTGTTTCGAACAATTTTTCTGCCTGGTTTTATTGAGACCTGGTTGTTTCTGCCTGGTATTATTGAAAGAAAAAATCTGATGTGTACATCACATGACTTCCTCGTACGGAATATTAAATTATAAGCATTTTTTTCTTGCATTTCATTTAAACGTAATGGATTGAATTAAATCTACTTTTCCGAAAGAGCATAAACCACAATAGAATAAATGCATTCTTTAAAATTCACTCTAGTATTTGTTTAGCGACACTCTGGCGCTAGATTCACTTTACAGTATTAAAAATTATATAACAGTTAACTTATATCATAATTATATAACGGAAACTAAGTTAACTGTTATATAATCCAATAATTATATAACAATTAACGTATATATTTCGTTCATATTATAACTCATAATGCACAAAATTTACATCATTTAAAGAATAGAATTATCTAATCGTTGCCACATGTTCTATTCAAATACTCTAATAAAGCTAGAACGATGTATAAAAGAAATTAAGCAAACAAAAAAAAAAAAAAAGTTTTTCACAGACGATTGAGTATTTCTCATTTAATTAAATCAGTTTTCACTTCGCGAGAAGGCAAAAATACATAAAAACTCAAAATATCTATATTAAAAATTACGAAGTAAATCTCAAAAACTTATTTCCTCGAAAAAATTCCAGAAAGAATTAAGCATGATTTAACTGGCAATAATAAATGAATGCGTTATCTTTGTTGTTGCGAAGCTAAGTTTCTCTAGATTGGCAACAAATCCACTAGTCTCCTCTTTCAAATGTAAACATCAATGACCTCCATAAAAAAAAGACTTATCAGCACTTAGATAACTTTAAAATTGTTGATAATTCTAAAAATATTGCACACAGATTTGCTAAAGGCATAAAAACCTTAACCGGAAGATAAAAACAACATAATTCAATCATTTTTAAAGCAAAAAATGCACAATTTACAAACATATAAGAGTAAAGAAACTGAGATCACTGAGCCGGGTAACAGAGTGCATATATATATAAATATATTTATATCCGTTTGGTGCGGCCGATTGAAACCAAAATACGAGGTGCACATCAACATGTTATAACAGTCCTATATACAAAATTTCAACGTTCTGAGACAACTCGTTTTAGAGTTATGCGAGATACGTACGTACGCGCGTACAGACACCATGAAAAATTCTCTTCAGAATTCATTTTAAAGCGGTTTTATAATTTTTTTGGAGGAAAAGAGTCTTTTATTCTGTCCTTACGTACAGATGTCATGCAAAAACATCGTTAAATTGCATTCGATAGCGGTCAAAATAGATATTTTCGTTGAAATATGCTGTCTGAAACTTTTCGCGATTACAATACTTCTTTTTTACTTTGTACAAGGAAGTAAAAAGGAGAGGAAAATAGGTTGCCTTAAATTAAGAAGTTGGCCAAGTGAGTTATTCTTAACGGAAATTGCAAAAATACGCAAAGATAAATTTCTCATAAAAAATTACAAAATTTGATATCTAGGCATAATTTGTGTCGTAGAATGAAAATATGGAAAAAAAAAAAAAAAAAAAAAAAACCATCGGTATATCATTTTAGAAAAGTCCGATTTTGTGTCAAAATACCTATGCTAGAACAATACTATGTATAAATCTAATTTATATCCTAAGTCGCAAGTTGAATTTCGACAATTGGTTCAGTAGAAGGGGAGATATTGAACTCTCTCTCTCTCTCTCTTTTTTATGCAAGGTGTACAACATTATGTTGCATTCAGAATATACACTGAAGTGACAAAAGTCATGGGATACCTCCTAATATTTTGTCGGTCCTCCTTTTGCCCGACGAAGTGCAGCAACTCGACGTGGCATGGACTCAACAAGTCGTTGGAAGTCCCCTGCAGGAATATTGAGCCATGCTGCCTCTATACATGTCCATAATTGTGAAAGTGTTGACGGTGCAGGGTTTTGGGCACGAATTGACAACTCGATGATGTCCCATAAATGTTCGATGGGATTCATGTCGGGCGATCTAGGTGGCCAGATCATTCGCTAGAATTGTCCAGAATGTTCTTCTAACCAATCGCGAACAATTGTGGCCCGGTGACATGGCGCATTGTCATCCATAAAAATCCCATCGTTGTTTGAGTACGTGAAGTCCATGAATGGCTGTAAGTGATCTCCAAGTAGCTGAAGGTATCCATTTCCAGTCAATGATCGGTTCAGTTGCACCAGAGGACCGACTCCATGCCATATAAAAACAGCCCAGACCATTATGGAACCACCACTAGCTTGAACAGTGCCTTGTTGACAACTTGGGTCCATGGCTTCGTGGGATCTGCGCCACACTCGAACCCTACCATCAGCTCTTACCAACTGAAATCGTGACTCATCTGACCAAGCCACGGTTTTCCATTCGTTTAGGGACCAACCGATATGCTCACGAGCCCACGAGAGTCGCTGCAGGCGATGTCGTGCTGTCAGTAAAGGCACTCGAGTCGGTCTTCTGCTGGCATAGCACAAGGAAGACAAATTTCGCCGCACTGACCTATCGGACACATCTCTCGTACGTCCCACATTGATTTCTGCGGTTATTTGACGCAGTGTTGCTTGTCTGTGAACATTGACAACTCTACGCAGACATCGCTGATCTCGGTCGTTAAGTGCAGGTGGTCGGCCACTGCGCTGTCCATGGTGGGATGTTATGCCTGAAATTAGATACTCTCGGCACACTCTTGACACTGTGGATCTCGGAATGTTGAATTCCCTAACGATATCCGAAATGGAATGACCCATGCGTCTAGCTCCAACTACCATTCCGCGTTCAAAGTCTGTTAATTCTCGTCGTGCGGCCATAATCACATCAAAGCCTCTTCACATGAATAACTTGAACACAAATGAAAGCCCTGCCAAAGCACTACGGATTTATACATTTTCTACGCGATATTTCTGCCATCTGTATATTTGCATATTGCTATCCCATGACTTTTGTCACTTCAGTGTATATGAGCATATGAAAGTTTAGTACGATAAAGACGTTCTATAAGGAAAATGGCTAACATTGAGATGAAAATAACTGAATAATTTTGCTTTAAAAAATGAAAGAATAAGTCATGAATCATCTTAATGCACATTGTGTATAAGATGAAATGTATCTTTCGAAAAGCACTTTAAGAAAGGGATTTTTTTATATCACCATAGACTATATTGATATCAACCGATGATGCCCAATGAATTATCAGAAATAGAGCTTAATTTTTCAGGAAAAATTTTTTAAATAAACATTTATTGTTTTAGCTTAAATTCAGTGGACATAAAATGCCCACTAGCGAGACAAAAGGGGGTCAAATACATGCTAAATTAGCTTTCTTATTCTAGCTTAAAATTCATGAGTTGTTGAAGCAAGTTAGTTTTTAAGTGTAATCCAGGAATCTGACAAAAATTTAAAATTTTCTTTTTCTTTTCTTTTTTAAATAAAGAGAAAATTTTACTCCTACGTATGTGTAGTGAACTGGACTTGATGCCATCGGAAATGATTCCCTGTCTGGTGTCAGCCATATGATGTTTATCATCAACTCGTTAAGATAATATTTAATATGAATACGAAAGGTTTCTGTTTAATTTGTATTATATATTTTTTTAAAGAATAATAAAGATATTATGAAGAGAAATTTGTATTTTCTTGTTATTGGCTGAAAATTGCTTCATTAGAATTGTTTATCACTTTGAGCAACTTCTATTACAGCTTTGCAACGTGAAACTTACTCATCGATATAGCATTCAAGCATGTTTAGATTACCTTGAATCTACCTTGAACCTTATGTTTGACCTACCTTGAATTACACTTGGGAATAAAGGCTTTAATTAGCAATGTTTGGAGACAGACACACCAGACGAAGGACCTCTGATTCAGGTCCATATCCTAGAAGACCCATACAGAGTTTGGAATATCCGTCATCTGGGGACCTCGTCCTCGCGGGCGCAACCCCAGCAGTCCTCCCCGGCTTTTACAAAGCATTGGGCAGAACTAAAACGTTGCAAAATCAAAAACTCTGTCAGCTTGCCTCCGGGCACCACTCCATCGGCAAAAATTCCATTGCTTGTGGGTGCTCTGTCCACTCTGTCAGTCCCCGCTACGAGAACGGAATGGGGTCAAACCCCCGGGGACTCAGTCGACGATCTCCGATGTAGCCCCACCCCAGCCGAAGGAACAGACACTACAGTACCAGTAAGGTCCCTGCCAAGCCTGAACCAACCTGAGTACAATACTCGGGTTCTAGTCCTGTGAAGTCAAATTATATACCCCCGTGGTTGAGACTGCCTAGGTACAGATCCTAACCAGTACTTCCCAGGCGTTCGCCTGAGTCAACCCCCGGGGGGGGAATGCTTGGAGACAGCTACCGAGACATTCACGGTATCTTATCACAGGTCCTGGTACTGTTATTGGTTTCAAGAGTGACAGGAAGGATCAAACGACTCTGGCTCGGTTTACTTCAGGACATTTAAGGACCCTCTATTCCCGTGGTACTGACTTTACCGCTTGCACCAAATGTAAAAACCTTGAATCTTACGTTTGACCAACCTTGAACTATATTTGAGAATAAAGGCATTAATTAACAATTCTTGGAGACAGCTACCGACACATTCGTGGTATTG